GCTCAGTTTGATTTTATATATAGTTTTGCATGCTTACTTTATTGTTTGTAAAGGTAAAGGGACCCCTGACCATTAGGTCCAGTCGTGGACGACTGGGGTTGCGGCGCTCATCTCGCTTTATTGGCCGAGGGAGCCAGCGTACAGCATGAAAAAAAGCCGCTTCTGGCAAACCAGAGCATTGCAATGAAACGCTGTTTACCTTCCCACCGGAGCAGTTCCTATTTATCTACTTGCACTTTGATGTGCTTTTGAACTGCTAGGTTGGCAGGAGCAGCAGGAGCTCACACCATCACGGGGATTCGAATCACACCTTCTGATCAGCAAGCCCTAGGCTCTGTGGTTTAGACCACAGCGCCACCTGCGTTACTGTACTGTAAATGTTTGAATGTGTTTTCTGGAATGACTTCTATTCTCTCTTGAACTTGAAACCAGCCACCACCGCACCATTGTCTAAAAACCACCAAGCTTCCCCATTTACCATTTAATGCACAGTTCAAGAATCACTGTTATCTATCCCCTGCAATCCATCCTAATGCAAATGGGAGTCAGTGATGGCCACCAACTTGGATCACTTAAAAATACAAATTTAATAAATAAAAAAATCAAATTTAAATTATATAAAATTGAAGGGCAATTTTTGAATACAAATTCATGGAGGACAAGGATGGGTATGTTCTACTTCCACTGGCGTAGGCATTAGGCCTCTGAATACCAGGTGTGGGTAATCTCAGGCGGACCAAGTGCTGTTGTGCTCATGCCTTGCTTGTGGGTTATCCCATCAGCATCAGACATCAGACTCCTGAGGGAACAAGATACTGAACTAGATGGGCCAATGGCTTAACCCAGGAGGGCTGTTGTTACGTTCCTGTGCCACTATTGCCATGTTTGCACCACAATTTGTATTTTCCCCACCAATAGACTTTTCCATATGGGAGCTTGAGCACACATGTACAATGAATGATGCAGTCCTAATGGGAGTGGCATGGCATCATTCAGCAATAACAGTAGGCAGTGAGTACCATATACAGACAGTTGGCAATAGGAAGAGAAGCAGCAGACCTTTTCCTAGGCAAATTCTCAGCCTCCAGACTGAAACCCAAATCTGAAACCATAGTCACTCTCAGACGAAACTACCTCACAATGTGGTTATGAGCATAAAATGGGGAAGCAGGAAGAGAATTATGTTCACCACCTTGGGCTCCTTTGAGGAAAAGTGGGATATAAATTCAATTAATGAACAAATCTTGTCAGCATCCCTTCCTGCAATTTCACCCATTTTTCCAAATTACACCAACAATTATTCCGCATGGAAACTATTTTAAGGAAATCCCTTATTTATCTCAAACTCCAAAGGTAAGAGTTTTAAGGCACAATTCAGACTAAATTGGGCAGCAGTGGTATCTTAATTGCCAAGTGTTTTGTTTAGTTTAGGAATCATTGTGTTATGTATTCAGTGCCCTGTGTTTGCCTGAGCTTGAGTATGAACTAAGGATTCTTAGCCCAATACATATCCAATCACAGAATGTTTCAGGATTTGGGCTATAGCCATTGGCCCTTAAACTCTTTATGATTTGAAGCTTGGGAGTTTAGACACGTTGAGAGGGGGAGTGGCCCAGGCCTTCAGAAACGTATATAAGCAGCCGCTTTACCCTAGTTGTCCAGTTCTTTTAGTTCAGTAAAAGTTAATGCTGTTATCACTGTGTCTTGCTTCATAGGAACCCACCTACACTTCACATCATTTCACACAGTATGTTTTAAGAACACTGGAAAGTCACAGTTAAACACTGGGGAATTAACTGATTTTAAATATTTGCAGTGTTCCTTTAGAATATTGATACATTTTTTTCCAAAGTCTAACATAATAAATTGAAGAAAGAGTAGGTATAATCACTTATGCCCTGATTATCTGCATTCATTCTATACAGAGACTGCATGGAAGTTGCCAACATTCTGTTACTATTGGACACCATTGTGGAAGCATGGTGAAGATGCTGTTCCTCTGAACGCTCTTTCACCTGGGCAGAAGAGGACTTTGCTCCTGGAGACTGTGTAGAAGACAGCTGTTGATCAGGACAGGTGCTTTGGGCAGCTGCCAAAGCATAGTGCAAAAGGGCATCACCCATTTGGCATCTGTACAGCAGCCATCTGGTCAGTTTGGATGTTTATCCAACTTTATGTCATTCTTCACACAGAGAAAATTGTACTTGTGCAGCAGCAGGTGAGCTTAACCCAATGAGTGGTAATTCTCAAGATGGTACGTACAGGCTCCCAGGAGTGCATATATATCTCAGATTATGGCTGGCTGGGTTGCTCACCTTCTATAAAGTTGCTACTGCAATCTGAGAAGACTGTCATTTTATTGCTAGAAAGGCACTGCAACTTAAAAGCAAAAAGGGGGTTTGCTACTTTGACTGGCACTGTTCCTACTGTTTGTTTCAGTTTCTGAAAATTTAATGAATGATAAGGTAGCAAACTGTTATCTCTTGTATATTAACTAAGGTGCATCCCATAATAACAGGAGTTAATATTATTAAAATGATGTCCCCAGAGACTATTTAAAATAAAAGGAATTGTGGTATCTGCATTGTACACAAGTTTAGACACGTGTGTGTGTGTGTGTGTGTGTGTGTGTGTGTGTGTGAGAGAGAGAGAGAGAGAGAGAGAGGGAGAGAGATCTTTCCAGGATGCAGAAAATCTTGGCTTATTGTAAACAGGATAAACAATTCAACTAGAGACAAATTGTTTGGCAAACCCTGACATTCAGCTGTCATTCTTCTGAGTGTCTTCCTGGAATGGTGGGTCTCTCTGATGTAGGGAACTGGAACTGATAAGGTCTTAACAGAAGCAGCATGCAAGGGAGTGGACACAAGATGGAGAGTCCTCGTTTCTTGCTTTTAGCGCTCAGAAAACTCTATTTTTGTTCACAATGGGACTGCAAACCCAGAGGAAATCAAGCTGCAAGAAGGAGCATCTGGAACTACACCACTTGGACTCTCTTTTTCTGAAACAGCTGCTTTACATCTATAGCTGCGGGCAAGGTAGTGGGTGCATGCTTTATTTATTCAAATATTTCTATCCCATCTTGTATCACTTGATGTCAGGGAGATCAAGATATAAATTACATAAAAGGGATGACTAACCTGTGGGCCAGATTCAGCCCAGCAAGATTCAGGAAGTGGCCCACCAGCCCCCACAGCTTTATCTCTTGATCTCAGCAGTGAGATTGGAAGATAGTTTTCTCGATTCTTTGGATTTTGCATTCTGCACCATACCTACCCTAAAGCTGAGAGGGGGCAGTTCTGGAAATGCTGCTTTTTACCTTTCACATATCTTTCTGTGAAGTGTAAAAGATTGTGCTACCACCCCTCTGCTCAGAATTATGATTGGAAAGGTTGGAAATGTCGCCGTTTGCTCTCCAAAGGTTGTCTTCCCCACTCCCACTCCCAAGCTGTGATGGAGAGAAGTGGAAATGCTACCTTTTACTTTTCACAGTAAAATCGTTCCCAATGAAATTTTATATTTCATGTTCCATTAAAACTGAATATGACACTACAGTATCTGTCAGATTCACAAATACAGATGTACTCCCTTCATGGGAGATTTCACATTGCCTAGTTATCTGAGCAATGTAGGTTAGCCTAAATTCTGGGAGTGTGAAGAGTCTCCATAAGAGCCAGGCTGCAAGGAGAGAACTACAAAAAAGCAGCACTAGCCAAACTGTTTAAAACTAGTTTCCTTTTGTATTCGAACAACATACAAGAATATGAACACTCAATAATAACAATCAGCCCTTCAAGGAATGAGCACCTTCCAATTTTGAGTGGGCATTTCACAAGCAAATTGAACACACACACACACCAGCATTGAGAACTTCAGCCTTTTCTCATTCAGTTCATAACTAATTTCACTCTGGATCTCATATGCTTTTTCCAGAAATCTACTGGAGAAAGGAGTTAATATTTTGGCATTATTCATGATAAGACTCCTTAAAGGACAAACAATACAGGCAGTTTGATCAACTATTTTTGAATAAAATGACTTTGGTACATACCCTGTCTGTTTTCCCTTCAGTTTGAGTACTGGTGCGGCTGTGTGCATCATGATCGTCTTCAAGATCAGAGACATCTTCAAGTTCTTCTGGGGTCTGTAAAAAGAACATGACATTATTCTTATGCATGAACTTTAAAGATGTCATACACCTGTGACAGAATACCAGACTTCCGCCTGGACCTAATGTAGGTGGCATATTGTCCCCACTTCCACAATGAATGCACATGTAAGAAAAATGTGAAGAATTCAAGAACGTGAGCTATTATTTCAGCCTATTTAACTAGTTTTTGTGAAGCATATAATTATATAACTGAATGTGTACAGCCAGACTGTTTTACCCCCATATTTTGCACTGATCATTCCTGATTTTCTTGGATGTTATATTTGTGAAAGTTATGCATGGCTTACACAATGCAGTGTTGCTATCACAGAATGGTTTGTGATTATTAAAAACAAACGTTACAAAGTAACCTATGAGACTTGTAAAAGGAGGCTGATTTCACCACATTATCCTAATAATTCGTTAGGATACATATTAGAGTTACGTGTGTGCAAATGATCTCTCGCAATTCTCCAGAGAAATTGGGACCATGTCATCAGCTGGAGGTCAGGTGACCAGTGCTGCCTAATCATGTTGTCCACTTCTGTTTAATAGCTGACTAACACTTCAACAATCTGCTCTCTTCTCTGCTATATCTCTGTACCAAAAGCACACAGCCTCATCTGCCACTAAGGCGTGTGTGCTGCTGCTGTTGTTTTGACATCTGAGCAGCTGAAAGTGTCCATTAGCATTCCATAAATCTTTAGTTGTTGAGGTTAGGCCTCAACTGAAGTTAGACCGCTTACAACCAATAAAAATTGGTAATGAAAAACTCGGCTGGCATTTGCCACTTTCTTTCACCTGTCCCACCCATTTGCTCTAATTTGGGGGTGAATTTTGCAAAAACATGGGGTGGTATTCAACTTTTACTCAGAATAAACCAAATGAAATTACTAGACCTCACTTAGTCATTTTCATTAATATCATTTGGTCTACTCTTAAGTAAAAATTTGTTGAATACCACCCATAGTTCATCAGCTAGACACTTTGATTTAATCTGATACCTCATTTGTCTCTCTTAGACCATAGCAAGTGTTCCAAAGCCTGACTTTGCAAACACATATTTTAGTTATGCTCCTTATTGCTTCATATTAATTGCATGTTATTTGATATAGTCAGTTAAGTGACTCAACTCTTTTTTCCTGGGATTAAAAGACACTTGCATTTTCCAAGAAAGCTCCCTACATTTTCAAGTTAGAATTCAAATGCCAGACCTGTATGATGAGAACGTCTGTGTAGGTCTGCCTCTAATCATTTATTTATCCGCACATTTTGAGTTGTGCATTACCAAACACTCACCCCTATTTGCATAGAAACAGACTGCATTTATTCAAATTGCTTTTAAAGATGAATATAACTTTATATTGAAAGAGTGATTGCTCATAAAGATTGTATGTGCTGAATTCTGAGCTAACAAGGAATTGGGTTTGACTACAATTGCCCTGTGTTTCTCCTGTTCTTAGTTTGATTTATGAATACCAAAAGACAAAACAGTATAACTCAGAGCTTTCCAAACTTTTCATGTTGGTGAGAGACTTTTTAGATGTGCATCATTTCGCAACACAGTAACTCAGTTTTACTAGCAAACCAGAGGTTAAACTAGCCCCTTTCCTGCCCTGGGAAGAGCACGGGGAGCATTTCCATGATGCATCTACACACTACCGTGTCACGACACACAGTTTGGAAAGCTCTAGTTTAGCTTGTGCTGGCTATACTAGAAGTAAAACTGGAAGTAAAACTGGTTTCTAGAACAACCAAGTCTAGCAAGAACTTGTTTGCACAAACATCTCTCATAGCTTGTTTGAAACATGCAGAATGGAACACTTTCTAGTAGTTTATTCATTGTTTAGAAAAATATGCCCAGGTGACCCAAATGCTAAAATAAGTTAGTGCTGAGGTGGTAATTCTCATGTTTGGAAACCACCACAAGACTTTTAAAAATCACCACCACCAAAGGCATTTTATTCCAAGACAGAGAATCCTGGATGGCCTCACTACACTGAAAAATATATAAGCTTTTGTGTGACATCTACAGAAATTCTGACCACAACAAGCTCTAATGACAAATTAGAACTAATGGTTGAACTAATTAAATTCTAGATGAAATAGTTTTATTACAGACATATACACACTTGCTTTCATTTGTCATTTTTCACAATTTTTGTGAAATTTTGTGAAATTTTTGTATAGTGCAGCTGGCGCTACTGAGAGCTATAGCTCAGAACATCTGGAGGACACCAGGTTAGGGAAGGATGCCCTATGCTGACAGGCAGTGGCTCTTCAGAGTCCCATTTAGAGAGCTTTCTCAGCCCCTAGGACCTTTTTCCTGGAAAGAATATGCATTGTCCTTTACTTAATTTAGTATTCTGCAGTAATTCACAAAATTGAAAATGTTCATAAAATTGTGAATGACGCATTGATTATACAGCATCCCTGATCCCTGTACTTTAAGAGTCTCTCTCCTATCAAACTGTTCAAAATCCTTCTCTTTGTGGGTACTTTTCAAGTGCTGTAGCAGAATATATATGAATGATGTGGCCTTGTAATTAGTAGTACCATGACTCTGTCTAGCCCAGTGCTGCTTACTCTCCAAGACCACAATAATTTCCATCCCTACTACCCAAGATCATTTTAATTTACATAAAGAGAATGCAGCCAGATTATACGAAAGGCCCATCTAGATCACCATCCTATTTCCACAATGGTCAAACATACATGCCCAGTAAACCAACAGACAGTGCTGGAAAGGCAACCACCCTCCCCTGTTGTTGCTCCCAGGCAATGGCATCCTGACTCTGAATATGCACATAAGGCCAGTGCAAGGCACTTTACTGCATGAAGTGAAGGACAGAGTGCTGTCTCCTAGGGGTCAGCCCTGCTCAGATAAGGAGCAAGAGGCGCAGGACTCTCCAGCAGATCTCCATACTGCCAGTAAAACAGAAGAGTCATGGGATTGGGGCATCTCTGCCCCAGGACTGGAGTGCCTACACCAAATGCTTCAGTTCTTGGCCAGCACTTGCATCTCTCAGACACACAGCTGCTTCCCAACTCCTGCAGTCATAGGAACAGAGGAGATGACAAGGCAGGTAGAAACTACAGAGCCACCACTGAAGTTCCTGGCTAGCTGCATATGGGGCAGCTTGGGAGGAGAGAAGGTAAGTACATGCAAACACCTGCTCAGATCAGGGCCCAACTGAGAGCAGGAATGGAGGGAGCCTCCAGTTCCTATACAAGGTCCAAAGTTAAGATGCTTCATTACTGAAGCAATGACTCTTATTCAAACTCCACCCTTCCTGACCTGTGGAAATGGACACACATACCCTTTCTCACAAGTGAACAGAAGCCAATCAGCCTGGCAGTTGAGAATTACTTCAATCAGGAGCAGCCAACTGAGCAGTGCAGGCATGGCTGTGCTGCTGATCTTGCTTCCCAATGGCATGCATTGCTGTTTGTTACTTAAAGGGGGTGGGCTATGGCAATGGAGGAATCAACATGGTGCAGCTGTAGCCAAGATTGTGTTGGATTCATTCTGCCATTAACTCCACCATATCTGAGGGCAGTAGGCTACCTTAGTAATAGCAGGAGAAGCTACAGGCCCAGTCCTGCAACACAGCTACTCCCTCCTCTAGAGCATCTGCCACCTGAAGTATCTCCTGAACTCTGCCCAATGGTAGGGCTGGCTCTGATGCCTAAAGATTCATGCCTGAGCACACATACTTTTAAAACATATAACTGTCCATAGAGGAAAGCTATCATCTACTTTGGGCACTACACAACAGCAGCTGGTTGGCTACTGTTGAAAACGGAGTCCCAGCCTAGATGGAACTTTGCCTTGGTTCAGAAAGAGAATAAAAGACTACATGCTTAAACCACCATGGTAAATATGAGCTTACAATATGATTGGGCAGGCTGCTCAGAAAATAAAATCCTTAAATTCTTAAAAGATAACTTCATTATAAGTGTATTTGTTTTTTATTATTACATGCAGGAAACCCCAGATTTTACTGTTCCACAGTATACATTCTTTTTTACCTAATCAGAAGACAATCACTGTAGGCAAATATGCAAAGTCACTTAGCTGCAGTGATGGGTACAAGCTTAGACAGCTTTTTCACTTTTTAAAAAACAATCCTCAGACCCTAGAGCAAAGCACAACTGGTGTTACATCTGCAATGCAGAGAGGACTTGACTTATCTAAATCTATAATTTTGGTCTACAGCATGTAAACAGCATGTAAGAAAATGCAGGATTCAATCCTGTCTTGATTCAGTTCTATATTGAGAGGATGTTGTTGAAACAATACGACAGACAAAAGTAATGGAGGGGGTCCACTGTGGGAGATGCAGTCACTCATGCATTATTTTCGGTCTATTATGTAATCGTAAACATACACAAAGGTTGCCTCCAGACTCCAGTATTCTGTGGGAAGGATTGAAGTGCATACTAGAATTTTAGGTTTGTGCAACTCAACTGATTTAAACAACTCTATTGTCCTAGCCCGAACTGCCCCCCCCCCCCTGGACTTTTTGCCATTCGATCTGAAATGTGTGGAATGATTGAATAATTAACAGGGAAATGTGTAAACACCACATAAGCAAATCAGGACGTTCATTGTTGTATAACTTTCCTGCAAAAAAATCAGAATGAATGATAAAAAAGACTGGATATAGTCTAACCTGCATGAACACTGACTGTGCAAGCAAATCAGGATGAATAGACCAAAACGGACAAGTATAATTTCAGCTCATGGCAACTACAGTTTTTAGTCAACCTATGCAGAGTTTTACTGACGTTGCTGTGGGCTGGATCAATTGAGTAAGTGGTTGATGCTACATGCTGAACTCAGCACAGATTGACTTCTGACTAGATTTACACTGCCATCACTAGTTAGTTTATATATTGCAGATAGTACCTTTTCCCAAGTCTGCTCCAAGCCCTATGTTCTGCTGACTTTGCCTTCCAAATGAATGGCATGGATGATCTCGCCTAATTCTGCAGTCAATGCAAGGATGCCACACTGCTACTTAGGCAGTCATATCTATGCAATGACATATCTTAAACAAATGTGAACCTTTTCACCGAGAACTGAAAAATTGCTGGTAGGGATTTTATTTTATCCTTCTGGAAGTATTTACCAAAGCTGTGAGATGTTCTTTTGAATATATTTTGTCAAAGCTCTTGGCAAATTCTTGGTGAAACCAGAGTTCTTGTTCAGTGAAAACAACTCTGAAATGTTGAGGGTTATCAAGACTCCATGTAAGATTTAGTTATCTCCTCTAAGCAACTTTTTAACAATGCATAAATTCTGTAAGAGTCAATTAATATGCATTTCCCCGCAGGGTCCAATCTTCATCTGTACTAGCTTTTCCGTTATTCACCAGTGACCCTATTGCTGGAAGACCAATATGTCCTATAAAAATTAACAAGTAACATTCTGTATTTTAAGCATTAAAAATGCTGCTTCATTGACAATACTGAACAGATTGTACTTGCACAGGAAACCTCAGTCCAACTGCCTAAATAGCCCTATAAAACCTGGGCCCACAGAACTTGCATCCCACTTCCATTGACACATGCGCTCTTGCCACCACCCCTCGACCTGGAAACAGAATACCTGAGCTGGGTGCAGGTGAATGGGGATGGGGTAACAAACGGGGAAGCTACATGTAGTCCTAAAGTTATGGGCCAAATTTTGAGGGGGGAATTTGGAGCTTTGGGGAGGGGGTGTGAGTAGATATACGTGAGGGAATGTGTAGAAGATACAGGTAGGATGGGGGTGGGCTTATGGGAAACCCATTAGGGGGCCCAAATATGGGGTAATGTATTTGCTTGTGACTCCCTCCCCATGCCTTCTCTCCCTCTCTTTCCCCATTGCCCTTTTTAGAGTGTAAGGGGGCAGGGGAATGCTACTGCTCTTGACTGTGCAAGTCGGTAAGGGGCTGCCTAACCTGGCAGGGGTTGCAGTT